TGTGTGACACTGTGTTTGTGTGTGTGTATGTGTTGTCATATTCGCTATACATTGTGAAGAAAACTGTCAGAGTGGCAGCTGAACTTGATTTTTCTGTTCCATTTTCTTTTGGGGGGAAATTACGCTCGAGTCACAAAAGACACTTCGCGCAAAAAACAGTTTCAAATTGCACTTCGGGCTATGTATACAAGCTAGCTTTCCGGTCAGGTAGGGTTGCAAGGGGGTGTGTTATGTTCGGGGGCATTCCCCCGAAGTGTAATTTGAATCTGTTTTTGTGCCACACTGACAGGACTGGGAGAATAATGAGGTGTTCAGTCTGCCGGCCTACCTCAGTTAGAAAGAATAATGAGGTGTTCAGTCTGCCGGCCTACCTCAGTTGGTAAGGTGCATGTTTTGCACTTAGGAGGTCGAAGGCTCAATTCCCGTACACCTCACGTTCATGCCTGGGCATGGCCTGTGTCCTACCATCTATCTAATCTAGAGAGAACCCGTCGCCAATGCCTGCCCACCCGGCAGGACTTCGGCAAATATTGTTGGTTGCTATGCAGCAACGATATTGGCCATCAGACCCCTAAGGTGCAGGTACTGCCTAATGGCCATAGTGCTCTGCACTACCGGTAGCACTGCCTGTTTCGCCTGTGGGCAATGCCTGCCCACACGGCGTGACCGTGATGAGGGGCTGCTTCAGCCTTTTTTTTTTTTTTTTTTTGAAAAGCTTGACAATGTATTTCAATAGGATAGTCTTGGGACGAGGCCGGGGACCTCACAATTCAAACCGGAGTTATCCTGGCAGCCTCAGCCAGTTTCGCTTAATGTTCAGAGATCTTCCTGTGGGTCCAGCATCCCAAACTACTAAATTACTTTCCAAAAAATTGTAGACCTTGAAGCACACTTAAAAAGGGCCTCCATTTGGAGGACTTTCCTATGAACTTCATATATAGACCTTGAAGCACAGATAAAGGAAGTTACTTGAAGTCCAAATTTGCTTAACCAAAGATCAAGCACTTCTCTATCGTAAAACTATACAGAGATCTGGAAAGAAAACCAGATCTAACAAAAGTACTACTGTGGAATCAATGTTGAAGCCTAAAGCGGCTCCTTAATCATGGGTGTCTGATAGCCAAGTACAAACGGCCATCTTTCCTTCTTGGGGGCTCGTTAGACACTCCTCGAGCGCTCAAAATTCCCAAGGAAATGATCGTTCCATCTGTCCTCGGAGAGAGTTCCTTGGAAACCGATGTGAAAACATTTCCTCGGGGTGTCCTCGGGGCGTCCTCGGGCCACAGCCATTTGGCTGCGCTCCCCGAGGTACCTCGCGAGGTCCCTTGGAGTGGGAGTTTCCGCGAAAATCGGGGCCTTTGACGACGGCACAGTTTTGTAGTGTGGTACAGCGGTGGTCCAGCCGAGGTGCGGGCAGACATTACCGCCCGGCAACGTTCGACTTCGGTGGGGACAGCGGCAACGGTAACGAAGAGTGGCAGTCGGGGACAGCGGCAACGGTAACGAAGAGTGGCAGTCGGGGACAGCGGCAACGGTAACGAAGAGTGGCGGACGGGGTCCGTGGAGGGCCCGAGATGACCCGGCCCCTCGTGCGTGCCGGTGGGAAACGGACAGGCCTCCAACGGGCAGCCGTTTCGAAATTCGTCGGGCTGTACATCCGTCGCCGAGAGCAGAGGTCCGCAATGTAAACCGGCGGAGGGCGTCATCAGCCATCACTTGCCGTCTGCTGTTTGTCGCCCTCAGGTTGGCCGTTACGCTGCGGTTGTCTTACATGGCCGACGTGTTCCGCAAGCTGCTGCTGCTCCTCGTCGTGATTCTGCTTGTCGTTGTCGTCTTTTTTCAGGTGTGCATATTGGGGAGGTTCCCTTCACGTACTCGCAGGAAAGGAGGGGCGAGGAAGAGCGTGGCCATGGACGGGAGGCGGACGACCCTGAGGACGTCGTCCGCCTCTTATCCCGGCGACCGGGCTCCGATCTGTGCCGGTGTAGACAGAAGGGCGGCAGGTCCGTCACCGTACGAAGGACTGCCGCCTCACTTGCAACCGCTGCCCGATTCGGATGAGGGGGAGGCGGAGGTGGACTTGTCGACGACAGTTCCGCTGGGTAGCGGGTCTACCCAGGAGTGGACGGGTAGCCAGTTGTATGATCGCCGCGGGGCGAAGTACGGGCAGTCGTTCACTTCCCTCCTTCACGACGGCGCRRAGGAGGAGGAWTGCCTCCCCCCTGTCGATCTCACATTTKGYCTCYGGAGCGGGAGCCCGYCTTCTSTCACGCGCACTGTGCTCGTGAACCCTCATCCCGACGACGACGCGGGGCAGGTCACATTCGGCGGCAGGGGCACGAGGGGCGGAGCGGCGGCAGAGGTGACGTCGGGGAAGACGACGGCATGGCCTCGAACGCAGGCGACTTCTGGCCCATCAGTTCTACGCACTGTCGGGCAACATCCTGAGTGGATGACCCTCAGTCCTCCGTTGTCCGGGGGGTGCGACGGCGTTCGTCGTCCCGTAGATCGGGCTGTGACTCACGAAGACTTCCCTTCCGAGGGCGCGCATGGAGATGGCAGGCGGGTGTGGAAGGAGGCGAGGCAGGAGTTGCGGTGGCAGCAAGACGAGTCCATAACGCAAGGTGTGGAGCGTTTACGCGTGGGCGAGCGGAGTGGGCAAGCGGACGTGGCCGTGGGGGGGGGTGACACATGGACAAATGCTGGCGAAGTTCAGTGCGACGTGGACGACGACGACAGCGACGACGTGTTCCCGTTGTGTGCGCCGAACATGGGTGGGAGGGGCGGCAGGGGCAGCACTTCGACTAGAGCGGTGCGCAGGCGGACGAGAACGTCCGTGGCCTCAACAGACGCGGAAGGCGAGGGGGATGGGGAAGGAGGGCGGAATTTTTGGTCCGTGGAACACATGGTGGCCCTAATGAGGGCGAAGCGGCATCAGGACGCCCAACTGCAAGCGTCAGGACACAACTTCACTCGGATGCGGTCGAGGGATTGAAAATGGTTGGTTGTCCGGGAGAGGTTGCTGAAGGTCAGTGTCGATAGGCCGGCAGATAAATGCGGGAAAAAATGGGACAATCTCATGCAGCAGTTCAAGAAGGTCCACGCTTTCATGGACATGTCGGGGAAGAAGGACTTCTTCCAGTTGACGAGTCAGCAGAGGGTAGAGAAAGGATTCAGCTTCAACATGGATCGAGCCGTGTTCGAGGAGATCAAAGGGGCGAGGGAGAGGAGCCACACTATCAGCCCGACCAATGTTGCAGACACTGGCGGGGCAGGGGGKGTGCAACTCCCATCTGCACAGCCGGCGACTCCGGAATCTGTGGGGGATGGGGAAGTCGCCGGTGATGGAAACGACGAAGACGACAACTCAGCACGGGGTGGCTCACAAACGAGTGGTGGCCCGACCGGGTTCGGGAAGAGGAAGAATGTGCGGCAGCAGACATTCGAGGCGTTGTCGAAAAGCATGGACAAGCATGGGGCGTTATTGGCGTCGACGATGGAGAGCGCCAGAAAGAGGCAGTGCGAGACGATGGAGAGCGCGGACAAGAGGCAATGCTCCATCCAGATTCGGCAGTGCGAAGCTATCGAAGCGGAGGTGGAGATCCAGAAACAACACTGTGCTGCCTCCACTGAAGTTAGCAAGCTTATGTGCCAGGCGCTGCTGGAAATAGCGAAGGCTAAACGAGAACGGTAGACACGTGCGACCGCTGGAGGTCATTGGTCGGCTATGGCCGTCACATCGTTGTGAATCCGCTGTCGTTGACCGCAGTCGGATGGATGTGGACGTTGCTCATGCCTCATTTTTTTCCATGGATATGAGAGAGAGAGAGAGAGAGAGAGAGAGAGAGAGAGAGAGAGA